GCCTTCCCCTTGAGGTTTTTAAAATGTGTTTGCTAGGGAGATGTTTCCACACCCTTATAAAGAATGTTTCGTTTCCTTCTCCAACCGATGTGGGATCTCACAACAAGAGACGAGTTATAGCTCGTTCGTTCTCTTCTTTTTCTTCTCTAACATATGCTTATGAAAACAGATCCATTTCCAGATGATTAAACTTGTTTGAAGGAAGAAAACAACACACAGGCAAGCTACTTCCAACACTAAAATGATATTTTCATCTCAAACACAAAATCACAAGAAGTGGGAAAAGGAACAAACCTTGAGGCATAGGTTCCTCTGAGGATCACAAATGGGATAATCAAAGGGGCAACAATGACGACCGTCCTTGCAACAGACAGCAGAGCTCAGACCACAGCATTTCCAAGACAAGCAAAGGCCAAAAAATTCCTTTGCACAACAACAGGTCTCCCCAGCAGCACAGCTAGTAAGAAAACTGCATTTTGTTGGACCTGGAGGAGGGGAGGGAGGCGGGTTGGGACTCGTTTTAATTGGATATGAAGCAAGCATGTTGATTCCGCAAACGCCTTCAGAATTTCCGCTGTTGCGCTGCATATGAATATAACCATCCATTCCCCAACGTTTACCCCACGAGTTCTTCACGATCCAATAATCAACACCATTTTCTGATCCATATCCTACAATCAACACAGCATGATCCAAGGAAGTTGAACATGGACCAGAGAAAATTCCCTAACAAAAACAAGTACCATTCTTGATTTTAGTCATAATTTCACGTATGATGGAATTTTCAAACATTAGTGGAGAATAGAACCAACCTTTGAATATAATTGAAAAGCTCTCTCACTGCCACAGATACCAACACTCACAGGTTGAATTGCTACTGCTTGCAGTAATTTTTCCTCATTGTTTGGAGGAACATCCGAATAGCCATCAATGGTAACGACCTTCCTATTTAGCTGCAAGCTCAATAGACACAAAATGCATTTCAGCGCAAGCAATCTTTTTTATCCGTAAGGAATCCATCTTCTATGTGAGATCCTACCTCGGTTGGGAAGAAGAACGGAACATTTTTTATAAGGGTGTGGAAACCTCTCCCTACTAGACGCGTTTTAAAAACCTTTAAGGGAACCATGAAACGGAAAGCCCAAAGAGACAATATTTGCTAGCGGTGGGCTTAAGCCGTTACAAATGGTATTAGAGCCAGACACCAAGTGATGTGCTAGCGAGGAGGCTGAGCCCCGAAAGGGGGTGGACATGAGGCGGATGCCAGCAAGAACACTGGGCACCGAAGGGAAGTGGATTGGGGAATCTCACATCAAGAAGGCTGAGCCTCGAAGTGAAGTGGACACGAGGCAGTGTGCCAGTAAGGACGCTAGACCCTGAAGGGGGTGGATTGGGGGTCCCACATTGATTGGAGAGAGGGAATGAGTGCCAGCGAGGACGCTGCGCCCAGAAGGGGGTGGGGATGAGGAGAACGAAGACCGAAACATTCTTTATAAGGGTGTGGAAACCTCTCCCTAGTAGATGTTTTAAAAACCTTGAGATGAAGCCCGAAAGGGAAAACCCAAGGAGAACAATATTTGCTTACGGTGGGCTCGTGAATCATTCAAACTGTGTCCATAAAAAGTGATTTACTAATATTGTGAACGTATTTGGAAGATGTGAGGGAGAGATGAATTATATTACCTTGTCCTTACGACACGATCCATCACGACCTTGAAAAGGATAATCATCTTCGGTGTCGATCCCATGGTTTTTTATCACAAATTGGTATGCATAATCCATCAGTCCTCCTCCACAGCCAGAATTATACGATCTGTCACAATCAATTAATTCCTGTTCAGAAACACTGATAAGAGACCCTGTTCTAATCTGGTTAATCCCTTCAATAGCTCCTGTTGCTGAGAAAGACCAGCAAGCACCTGAAAAGTGAAAACAAAAGATATTGGTTCTTTCCCATTTAGATGAGCAAAGCTTCCACATAACTTGAAGCTTATCATGAAGAGATGATGATACAACTCAACTACCTTGATGATCACTAGATCCAAAACTCAGCTAGAGTATAGTTCATAATTTAATACATTTTCAACACTTTTCTTTATATTTTGTTTGAGATCCCGAGGAGAACAAAATATTTTTTTATAAGAGTGTGGTAACCTCTCCCTAGCATACGCGTTTTAAAAACCTTGAGGGGAAGTCCAAATAGAACAATATCGGCTACCGGTGGGCTTGAGCCGTTACAAATAGTATTGGAGCTAAACACCGAGCGATGTACCAGCAAGAAGGCTGAGCCCCGAAAGAGGTGAACACGAGGTGGTGTGCTAGCAAGGACGTTGGATCTCTAAGGGGGTGGATTGGAGGGTCCCACATCGATTGGAGAAGGGAACAAGTGTCAGTGAGGACGCTGGCCCCGAAGGGAGGTGGATTGTGAGATCCTACATCAATTGGAAAGGAGAACGAAATATTCTTTATAAGGGTGTGGAAACCTCTCCTTAGCAGAGGAGGGGAAGCCCAAAGAAGATAATATCTGGTCACGGTGGACTTATGCGGTTATATTTTGCTCAAACATGAACTATATTTCTGCAATTCTGTATATAGAATCTTAAAATAGAATGAGGAACAAATGTTTAAACCCATATGGCCAAGCAATAATGTTTGGTTTCAAGAGACAGAAGCACAATTTCCACTTCTAATGATTTCTTTGTTCGGATTTGTAATAGATAACCCCATGTTCATGAAGCCATTTATAGAAATTTCCACTTGTAATGCATCGATCGTCAAAACTAACCCTAGGGTCCTAGGGTTTCAATCAAATTCAAAATCACGGAACAGAGTAGTTCAATCAGATTCAAGATCTTCACCAAACAAAACAATCGAAAACAGAAATTAAACATACCACAACTTCCTTGATCCTTAACAGCAGTCACAGCCCCTTTCTTCCTCCAATCTAACAATTCAGGAACATCCTGATGAAGATAGGGTTCTTGCGGCGAAACCGGCCGTGAGTTCCGCAAAGCAGAGGAAAGACCCAAGCGAGCGGCCTTGAACTCATGGTGAGTAATATCGGCATAAGCATTGAGAGAAAGAGTATAAGAAGAATTTCCCTGATTATTGTGATGAGTAACAAATTCATAGTTATCGGCAAAAACACCGAGTCTGTATAGCTTTTCTTCCGCGGAGGAATACGATTTTCCATGTTCTGTGCACCAGATTTCGAAGAGCTCCGAAATATCCGAAGTAGCAGAAAAATGGCGAAGAAGAAAGAGAAAGGTAATCACAAAATGGAAGTTGAGGTTGGCCATTCTTTGCCGAGATAAAGCGTGGCGGTGCTGGTTAATCGCCGGCGAGTCGGTACACGGCCGCCGTAGATGGCTGCTATCAAATAACCAGAGGATTGGCTATTCGATCTTCAATGAACAATGGTCCCAAACCAATCGGCAATTGACAGACAATTAACTCACGAAAATCGTCGAACTTGAATGATTTTGTTTGGATTTTTTGGATTTTTCGAGAATGATTTTGACCTGTTTGCCAACAATTTCGTTTCGGCTTTGGTATTTCTAAAACGTGATTTTAAAAGAACATTTAACAAGAAAATATCCCGTGATTATTAAGATATATATAAGTTTTGTTTAATTTCATATTTTATGATTGAAAATCATTTAAATTTTGAAAATAATTTAAATTTTAAATTTGATAGTCCTAATATTTATAGTCATCCAACATAAAATTAGTCAAAGTGAAACATGTTTAACTATGAAGTTCCTATGAATGAGCCTTATTGATATAGAAAATAAATTTCAATTGTTTTAATATTTTTTTTTCGGATCACTCTCAGATCATTCATGTATCTCTTTCGTTATTCCGTGTCCAATCAAATGAAGTGTTATGCATGATTATGTTTTGCAGTTAATGTCCACCCACCATGGATGTGGCTCTCTAGTTTCCAAGCACTTGATTTTCCAAGTGAAAAGTATGAAAAATCTAATATTTATGAGGGTTCACACTTCAATCGAGCTCTAAAGAAAGTGACTTTTTCAATACCTACAATCTCCATGGATGCGAAGCCTCACAATTGGGTATTGAAGGTTCGCCCACGTGTTCAAAAGATGGAAAATTCATCGATAGAGAGGATATGATGATGAGCTGACGTTTTGAATCCTGTGAAAATAATACTAAAACGTTCTATAAAAAATTTGGAATTCGAATGTGGCACTTGATGGTCTTGACGTTTCCCTGCATCTCCTACAATATGGTCATGTTACCTACTCTTCCGTCTTAAGAGTGAAAACTATCCACACTAACCAAACCAACACGAGTCCTTCTCATGAAAATACACAGGAAGTCACTTGACATAAAATTGCTTGTTTCTTAGCCATGGAGTTTCTTAGGACCGCTCTCTCATTCGAATGTGGAATCAGTTCATTCATGTACCACTCCATTACTCGAATGTTACAAGACGCCGACGCCGCATTCGCACAATTAGGCTCATGGGCATACTACATCTTGAAATAATGGCTAACTTGTCTTAACCTATACAAACAACACCAACGATCAATTAAAGGTGTATGATCAAACTCGGCGTTCTATTTAAATCATTAAGTTAACACCACATTAGTATATTCCTAAATTCTCAATTGTAAATTAATAATATGATATAACAACGAAGGAGTTGACTCACCATTTGGGACCCATATCATAATAACTCCAGTTGAATCTAAAAACTTTTCTCGGACATGCAAACCTCTAGTTCTCAAAGGTTAAAATCTTCGAATGAAGTTGATTTCATTCCAAATGATACGAAACTCTTAAAAATTCGATCTAACAACGTTCCAGAAGAATAAATCCCTAAAAAATAAGAAATCAATCGAAAAATTACCTTCGTAATCAAATCAAGAATAGAGAAATCTCTGGATTCAAATTACTCCACAAACAAATTAGTTTAATTAAACCTGTTTAAATGACTCTAACATACAAATCTCTATCGAGTTGTGATAGGGGAGGAAAGACTATGTACATGGACACCAATAAAATGAAGAAAAAGGGAATTCGAAAAGAAAAAAAAAAGTGAAGTTTAAGGTGAACTGGAATTTTTGTTGAGCTCGTGTAGAGACGAAAATGAAGCCATGTGTATGCAAGACAGTAACCCAGAAGAGCCCTCTTCCTATCGACACGATTTCGACAGTTCATCCTGCCAAGTATCATCCCATCCCCTGGTTCAGCCACGTTTCATCCCTTCCCACTTTCTCGCTCTAATTCCCCCAATTCATTCATTTTCTTTTAACACATCCCTCCAACAATCCCACATGCACTATCCTTTTCCATGTTGAATCCAGGAGCCAAGCAACCGCCGCCGCCGCAGCAGCAGCAGCAGCAGCAGCTCAAAAGGGCCTCCTCTTCTGCCCATCCCAGCTCAAGAAAGGGCTGTATGAGAGGCAAAGGAGGCCCTGAAAACGCTTCCTGCACTTACAAAGGTGTCCGTCAAAGAACTTGGGGCAAATGGGTTGCTGAGATTCGTGAGCCTAATCGTGGGGCTCGTCTTTGGCTTGGCACTTTTGATACCTCTCATGATGCTGCCATGGCTTATGACAATGCCGCTCGTCGCCTCTATGGCTCTGACGCCAAGCTCAATCTTCCTTCCTCTGCTGCAGAGCCTGAGAAGTCTGTGGTAAACAATGGCGGGATGGGGTTTGGGGAGGAGGACGAAAATGGTGGGCTTTGGAGGTCCATGAGTATTAGCTTAGATGATTCCATTTGGGTTGATGCAACCATGTCTTTGGATTTCCCTGTGATGGAAGATCAGAGCCTTTTGGCTGCGAATTTGGTGGATGGAAATGGCTGGGACACACTACAATGGTGCTTATGATATACATATGAACAAGGCTTGGTGGATAAAACTTGTAATTCTAAGTTGTATTGTTGTTTTCTCGTGTGGGATTGTTTTGTTTATGTTAGGTTCGGCCCAAAATGTTTCATTTTTTTCTCTCTTGATTCGTTTTTGTTTTGATTTTTGTTGATTTGGGGCTGTTTGGATTGAAAGCTATATGAAATTATTTTTGTCTGTTCTTTCTATCTTCCAAGTAAGATGGAGATAAAAGAAGAACATGCCAAATCGACTATAAAACACACATTCAAGTTATAATAAACAAAACACTCAACAAATTAAGCCACAAAAAGCTCAATTCTAAGGGTTTTTTATTTTTATTTTTATTTTCTATTCTTTTCTGCACATTAAGCCATGGAAAAAGCCCTGTGATATGTTGAAGAAGAGAAGAGATGATTCAGGCAGCTGATGAAAGGTGACTCACCGGAGCAGATTTTGCCAATTTTGAAGCTATCCATTGACGATTGTGCAGCCATAGGGCATCAGCTTCCACAGAATATTCATCTTGGTTGCGATGCCAAGCGAAGTAGGCGTGAGTTCTGTTCTTTATGTCCAGTGTGGCATGGCCGAAGCTGGCTTCACGGTAAGCTGAGTATCTTGGCTGTGGTTCTGTCATCCTGCACAAGTGAAGTTTGATCAAAAAGCTTTAGCTGTTGAGTTGAAAGATTAAGAAAAGAGAAGTTAAGGGTTTTTCCGTGCTTACTCTGTTACTAATCCTTCTGAGTTACCTCCATCTCCAATGGTTATGTAAACTGGAGCATCTTGGTTACGCATTGGGGAACATAACCCATTTACAATGTTGTATGCTATGTTTGATACTCGTTCCTGTTATGCAAGAATAGGATATTCATATGATCAATCATTCAGAAAAGGCTGATTTTTGTTCGGCTCGTTACGTATCGCCACGTCAGCCTTAGAATTTTAAAACGTGTTTGCTAGGGAGAGGTTTCCACATCCTTATAAGGAATAACTTCGTTCTCCTCTCCAACCGATGTGGGATCACACAATTCACCCTCTTGAGAGTCCAACGTCTTCGTTGGCATACTGCTCGATGTCTGGTTCTGATATCTTTTGTAACAATCCAAGTCTACCGCGAACAGATATTGTTCGTTTTGGCTCGTTATGATCGCCACATCCTCACAATTTTAAAACACGTTTGCTAGGGAGAGGTTTCCACACCCTTATAAGACTGTTTCGTTCTCCTCTTCAATCGATGTGAGATCTCACAATTCACCCCCTTGGGAGCAAGCATCTTCGCTAACACACCGCCCAGTATCTGGCTCTAATACCATTTGTAACAGCCCAAGCCCACTACTAGCAAATGTTGTCCACTTTGGCTCGTTACGTATTGTCCTTAGCCTCACAATTTTAAAACGATCTATTAGGAAGAGGTTTCCATACCCTTATAAGGAATGTTCCGTTCTCCTCTCCCGTTGATATCTCACCATTCACTTCATAAAATGTTATCTCACCCTTTACTTTTTCATTAAAGAACGGTAAAAAAAAAAAAAACAAATTTAATTATTTTTTTATCAGATTTAATAATCTTGTTCTAAGATTAGACTTATAGTATCAGATTTAATAATCATTTTGTTCTAAGATTAGACTTATAGATACTACTTACAGATCGTTCGTAGGCATGAACATGACCAGCAAAGACAACATCAACTTTATAGTTCACGAACCATGGCTCGAAGACCACTCTCATACTTTCTCCCTCCATGTAATGATGAACATAACTGCTGTACATTGGAGTATGCATAAGAACTATGAGCCACGGAGTCTGGTCCCTGTTTACCCTTGGCAGCTCACTCTGCAGCCATTTGTATTGGGGGCTGCTTTTCACTGCGAGAAAAAGGAGGCAATATAGATTTATTAATCAAGCATACAAGAAATCTGGAAGGATAATCTTACCCCAGCTTGTCATCCCCAGGACCTATTTGATTCTTATCTCAAATTCATTTTGGAAGGTAAGTAGTTTGGATGAGGAGTTCGTTTAAAAATGAACAATCGTGAGAAATTGTAATACTTATCCTTTTTGGTGATCGGATGAAAACTAGAACATTATAATGAAACGAATTTAGGCTAAGAAGCCCGTATACTTTAGTTTGACTAGTGTGACCGTGTCTAACACGTGTTAAACATATATCAAACACTTACAGTAGCACAATAAATGTGTTAGACACTAGTTGTGCAAAGTCATTATAGGTCCAACACTTATGCATGTTTCGAACCTTATTCAATGAAACGAATTTAGGCTAAGAAGCTCGTATACTTTAGTTTGACTAGTGTGACCGTGTCTGACATGTGTTAGATACTTGTTCGACACATATCGAACACTTACAATAGCACGTATCCTTGTTGTGTCTATGTCCTAGATTTTTAAAAAATAATGTTATAGTGTCCCTATTGTGCTGTCTTGGTGTCTCGTTTCCTTTTTAAAATTAAGGATTCTAATTGGGTTGGATACAAGATGAACACGAACAATTCTCTTCACTGAATAAGAGCTTTCTCGAGGTTTAGGTACGATCTCATTAAGCAACAAGATGTATCATAATAGTAAAACAATGCCAACATAATCTATAACAATGAAGCTAAACAGGCTAAACAGAAAAGGGAAACTTACGTACCATAAGATGAGTAAGAGGACAAGACAATTATATGAGCAGAAGCTCTCTTAATGGAGTACCAAAGCGGAGACGAGCCATCCAGTGCATTATATGGGACACGGTAGAGATGCAAAAAAGGCTTAAACGGTTCGGTTTCACCCTGGAAAATGATTAAACCAATTCTGGTGAGGGCATGCTCTAAAGATTTGAACCAATCAATCATATCAACAATAGAGAAAAGATGTATAAGATTAATACAATGTCAGGAGCATAGTCGAGTTCATGATTCCCTGCAGTCCAAATCCAAGGTTGATAAGCTGCACTTCTTTCTACAAACCTCCCCCATGTGTCCCACCTGGTGTTGTCGTGGAAGGGATAACGGTCTGCATACGACAGGTCCCCGACGAACAACATAGCCTGTCCTTTTGTTGGGTTTGATTCATAATGTGTAAGTGTTTTATTGGAATCATATGTTTGGCCAAGATCTCCTGCTTGAAGAGAGTCGAATAATCACATGTTTAAGCCACTCAAATCCTACCGAAAGCAATATTCAATACAAAAAGTAAGGTTAAATAACAAATTTAGTCCGTATAATTTGGAATAAGTTAGCATTTTGTTCTTACGGTTTGATGAAACCTCATTAATAGTCCTATTACCATATGCCAATGAGATAATCCTTTGCATTGACCCATTTGTTATCCAGCCGGCTACTTAACCCTCACAATGTGCTAAATACAAAACTACTTCATTGTCATATGAATAACTAATTATCACCCTTTGCATTAACCCATTTGTTATCCAGTCGGCTACTTAACCCACACAATGTGCTAAGTACATAAGACTACTTCATTGACATATGAATAATTAATTATCACGTAATCAATCACTTCTATCAAATAGGAAGTATTTGTGATGTTTTACGTAATAGTCCAAGCCCACTGCTAGCAGATATTGTCTGTTTTAGTCGGTTACGTATCGTCGTCAGCCTCATGATTATAAAACATGTCTACTAGGAAGAGTAGGAAGAGGTTTCCACCCTCATAAGAAATGTTTCGTTTCCTTCTCCAACTGATGTGGGACCTCACAATAATAGGGGTGGATTGTGAGATTCCACATCGGCTGGAGAGGGGAACCCTTCCTTATAAGAGTGTGGAAATATCTCCCTAATAGACAAGTTTTAAAAATCGTGAGGCTGACGATGATACTTAACAGGCCAAAACGGACAATATCCGCTAGCGATGGGCTTGAACCTTTAAAATCTTAGGAACTAAACTTTAACTTCCAAACCAAAGACCAAATTTGTGATTCAACCAAAACGTTACCTATAACACCAAAAGTATAAGGCACATCGGGGCCAATTTTAGGAGGGGTAATAAACCAAAACCTTCGTGTTAGACTTCCGAACCCGATCACATAGAAGTATTTCGTGTCGTACTGCAAAGGATCATATAATGATCAAGCAAATCAGATGTACTCATATGTTTTCAAATTCAGAGTGTAAATGAAGCTCAATCAATAACAGAACACAGACCTCTAAATTCTCAATAGTGCAGTGATGAATGAAACCAGATGTATAGTTGAAGTACTTATAGGAAACAACAGAGCCTTCAGCTTTGTTTCTAATCGGACTGTTTTCAGCCCAATAAACCACTCTGTTTGAACCAGGTTTCTCCGGTGTAACCCAAGAGATAATTACACTCTTCCCCTCAAGATCCCCCTGTGTTATATGAACCTTCAATCAACAGCCACAAGAAAAACTCAGTCATGTAATAGAATTCGTGATTTTAATGGCAATGATTCGTTTATGGAAGATTTATTAGACCTAATCTCCATATAAGCATTGGTTTTACACTTCTAAACATGATTTTCATAGATAAAAATCGATCAAGATGGATTAAAGATATGTTTCAGAGTAAAATTTGAAGAATACGATCGATTTCCAATAATTCACAGATTAAGCTCAAGACAAGCAAATGCAACGAAGAAAAACTCAAAGGCGCGAAGAAACAGAACAAAGCAAAACAACAAACACCTGTTGTGCGGCATTTCTACCGGGAGGAGGCTTGAACACATCGCTATCGAGCGGCATATCCGACGCCACATAGTCATTCCTAACGTAACCGCTCGTGAATCCGCCATTACAAACGCCCAAATCGCACACTACAAAACCCAAAATTACAAGAACAGAAAATCCAGCACGAAATATGCTAATACCCATCGATCTCGGCCGGATTCCAAAACCAAATCTCCAAATCCCTTTATGTAAATAAAATTTATCTCCGTGTGGTCTGATTCTTACCACACGTGAAGGAATGGGAGTGATTTGGTTCAATCGATAACGAACAGAAATTTAAAGAGAAACTGGAGAAAAGG